GGTGCTGAAACCAGCGCCCCGCCTCAGACATCCTCAGAATCTGCTCTGACAGCCAAGGATGTTGGGCATGAAAACGAGCAAACCGCTTGAGACATCCCCGCAAACTGGCCGCGAACTGGCCCGTGCAAACACCCCTGGCGGCGCCCCTTAGGGGTGCTGAAACCAGCGCCCCGCCTGGGACCCGCCTGAATATGAGTAAGTCTCTGTATGAGTAAGTTTGTGTATGTGTACGTCTGGGTATGAGTAAGTCAGAGTATGGGTAGGTTTCAGTATGAGTAAGTCCGTGTGTGAGTAAGTTTGGACATGAGTAAGTCTCGTATGAGGAGACGAGAAGAGGAGGGGACGAAAAGAGGAAGGGGGAGGAGGATGAGTAGGAGGCGTCCAAGTAATAACAAGAACCCCAGCTTAGGATATGGGGAAAGAAAAAAAGATGGTCACGGATCCTCCCGCCTCCCTCGTAGGCAGATCAGCAAGGCCAGCACATTACTTGCCGGAGCGGGCCTTTGGCTTGAGGCCCTTGTGAAATCGCTTGAGGAGCTCCCGCCTCTGAGCAGTGCCAGTCGAGGGACCGCACTGGGCCGCGAAAGTCCGAAGATATGATCTCTGACAAAAAAGCACAAGCGAAATATGTCCAAACCCCCGAGGAGGAGGAGGAGGAGGAGGAGGAGGAGGAGGAGGAGGAGGAGGAGGAAATGGAGGAGGAGGAGGAAATGGAGGAGGAGGGAGGGAGGGAGGGAGAGAGGGAGGGAGGGAGGGAGGGGCGGACCCGGATAAAAGAGAGAGAGAGAGAGAGAGAGCGCGCCGAGGTGTCGGTGACAAGACAGGGCAGAACGCTGGGAAAAGCGACGTAGCGCAGCTCCAGATCGTATGAGGAGAGCCGGCGTCTGGGCTTTCGATCCAGGTGGCGGGACAAAGGCCCAGCCCCCATGTCGGCCAGCGTTTGGCCGAGGGCCTGCGCTCAAGAGAGGCAGAATGAGGGGATTTGCGTCAGGCGAGTCCGAGCCGTACGGCCTCGTCGTCTGAAAAGTTGAGGGCGTGGGTTGTGGCAGTGTGGCGCCTGGGCACCTTCGGGTGCACATTCGGATCAAATGTGCGATCGCGCTTGTATCTGCGCGAAGGGTTGCGCTCGAGCAGCTCTGGCTTGCAGTCCATGGACTACTGGGACTGTGAGCCACCCTTGCAACACGAGCCGCACCTTTGACATACCAGGAGAGTGCCAGAAGCAATAATCTCATGACCTCGCGAGAGAGAAACTGGGATGATGCCCGACATCTCGGCAGGGCCGTCGGTTCTGGTAGGCGGAGCAGTGCCTTGGGGGACCCCTCGAGACAGGGGCGCTTGCAAGGGGGCAAGTCAGCCTCAGGGTGCTCACACCTACGAGTCAAGAAGGAGAGGAGGGCGTCAGGAGAGGGAGGGAAACCACACTCGAAACGCACTCTGGGCCTGACAGGTTGGGCCCAGTCCCCGACACAGAGGACGCGTGAGGTCAGGCGTGGGTGGCCACGGTGGAAGGCAACGGCGACGACGACACAGCGACGACCTCCTCTATGGATTTCCACGCGCCAAAGGTGGAGGGAGGAGGAGGAGGGGGAGGAGGAGGAGGAGGAGGAGGAGGAGGTGGGGGAGGGGGAGGGGGAGCAGTGGCTCATTACAGCTCTCGTCTCGGCGTCCAATTCTGGAAACCGACTCACCACCCACCAAGCCACCCCAGCCCGACTTGAAGGCCCCAATGTGCCCTCCGTTCCCAGTGTGTGTGTGTGTGTGTGCGTGTGCGTGTGTGTGTGTGTGTGTGTGTTTGTGTGTGTGTGTGTGTGTGTGTGTGTGTGTGTGTGTGTGTGTGTGTGTGTGTGTGTGTGTGTGTGTTGGGGGGGGGGGGCGTCCTCGTGGGAACGTGGACAAGAACACCTGCGGACCCACCCTACTCCAACCCGAACTTTGGGTCTTCGGGTTGGGTCGTGGTAGTCTGATAGGTAGGCACCGACCTAGACTCACCCCCGGCCTCCCAGACCCTCGACGTTGTGTTTTTTTCGTGACCCGACCCCTAGAGGTTGGGACCCCTTCCCAGGGATTGTTTTTTCATCCTGAGTCGTTGTTTGCCGGTCCCGAGGCCCGGGATGGGCCCCCGGAGGCTGAAAATAGCGAAACATTTTCCGCCGTGATCTGTTTTACAAGCCGAGGGAGTCTGGCCTCCCCGCCCGACAGAGACGGCGACGACGATATAGAGAGTCTGATCTTCATTATGATATGGAGAGATATAACACAAATACATCGATAATGAGAGAAAGAGAGAGAGAGAGAGAGATACAGAGAGGAGAGAGAGCTCAATCGCGCCATGTTCGTTCGGTCCAGCGGTGGAGATCGGGACACACATCACCGTGTGGGTTCGAATGCGGCTCCGCCGCGCGAGTCCTTCCAGCCTGCGCGTCCCCCTTCCTCCTTTTCCTTTCCCCCATCTCCCTCCCCCATGCCTGTCCATCTCCCCGCTTCCCCTCCCCGCCTCCCCCGCCCCCCTCTCTCTCTGACCATTTTTGTTCCTCTCCCCCTTCCCCCTGAGATCCGACGTCGCGGGAAAGATGCAGCCTCGCGAGAAAGCACGACCACTGCCTTGGACCCGACGTTTCGGCTGATTCTTTGTCTCGGGCCGGATCGATCTGTGACTTCCTCGACGCACAGAGCCTGGCGACAATGCCTGGGGTGGAAACGCTTCAGCATCCGGGTCCGAGGGCGTCCTGCCCCCCCCCTCATCGTCAACAGCCGCTTTGTTTCAAGAGCTGCACGCCAACCATCGATCACACACCGTGTTACGTTGCATCTTCGGGGGCACTTCGCATGTCCCCCAAATCGGTGTCTTCTCTCGTGCCCAGCGCGGATTTGGCGTGGATCCGACGAGGATTCGGCACGGTTTCGACACGGATCCAACGAGTCCGGCATGGATTCGATGCGGATAGGGCCGCTACGGGACACACAAGGTCCCCCGAGGATGCAACACAAGCTGTGAACCCGACGCAGCCGGGGGTGCGCGCGTGCGGCGACCGCGATGATGTTTCCTGACTGCCACGGTCAGCTGCTGACCGGCACGCAGAGGCTGCCGCTGCCCGAGCGCGACCCCAGGCCTGGCGGCGTCCAACAAGTCAGAGGAGGAAAATACTCGGCTGCACGTAAGAGTGACCTGTCGCTGGAGTGACGCTTGGTGCGGGCACAGTGGGCAGGGGAACGAACAATGACATCAACATAATGACTCGGAGGTCCACGCGGATTTGTCGGATCAGCGCTAGAGATCCCTGGCAGCGCCTCCGGCGCCGCCCCTGGCGCGCTCCGCGCGCCAAAGTGGGGCGTCCAACGCCGATCCCAGGAATCCGCGCGGACCTCAGAGTTTTTATGTTTACGTCATTGTTTGTTTCCTTAGTGGGGTCCCCAGATGGCCAAATGCGATACGACAGCAGCGGCTTGCGCGCTCCAGTTCGGCCTCCCCGCGGCCCCCGAAAGTCGCGCATCAAAGATCACTCTTGCCTAGGGGGCCCTCCTTGCCACGGCCGAGCTCGCTCCGGAATGCCTGTCGGAGCGCCCCTCGGGACACGACTGGGGAGTAGCGGTATCGGCCTCTCCTGGTTTCTGCATTGCCAAGAATCGCCGAGCGCGTTTCACGACTCGCAAAATGCCGACTCGCAAACGTCCGAAAACACACATGCCTGCTTCGATGTAATCTGTCGTAGATCCCCCGCGGCGGATCCAGGCCATTTGCGACGAGTCACTTTGCGAGTCGTGGAACGCGCTCGTCTAAGGAAGGCGGAGGGGCCCTTTTCTCAGGAGCGAGAGAAGGACGCACGCGGTACGCGAATCCACGTCGTCGTCGAGAGCGCGCAGGGCGCGAGCGCTCGTGACACGAGGCTGGCCTCGCGGACGCGGGGGGTCGCAACTCCGTGCACGCGGCTGGGCGCACACGTCCTCTTGTGTGGGCTCCCGATCGCCGCTGCACGGCTCGCCCGGATCTCCAGCCTCTCCCCGGCGTCCTCCCAACACACCGATACTATGTGTTCGTCGCCCCCCCAGGGGCGACGCGCGCACCGAGAAGTCTTATAGTATACGCGTCGTGGCGGGCGCTTTCTGGCCACACCGCTCGGGAGACGATATACTACAAGATGTGTATACTGCATGTTCGGGTCGGACGCGCGCCTCCAAGGAGGACAAATAGTATTGGTACGTCCATGCGCGTCCCATCTCCTTTGCACCACCCATCGCCGCCTTTGACCGTCTGCGCGGGTTGTGCTCTCTGCCGTCTGCCGTCTCTCTGCGGCCGAGGAGCCTTCTCAGAAGCCCCGAGGAGAATTCTCCTCTGCGCCTGAGGTTCCTCTGCGCCCGAGGCCTCCCGATCGTAGAAGCCCGGAGCCTCCTTAGACGGCCCCGAGGAGAATGCCAGGAGGCCCCGCCGCCCTCTCAGAGGGCCCCCGCCTCCCCCCCCGCGCCTCCCCTCCCTGGGCTCCGACCCTGCGCAGACGTTGCAGCGCGTCGAGAACTCGCGACCAGAGCCCCAGCCCCGATCTTCCTGCGGCACTTCTCGAGCCAGGTCGCTCCGCGATCCGTGATGTCCCCGGAGCCTGGAAGAGGGCGACAACGCCCGGGGTGACAGGAAGGCAGCGCCCGTATCTCAGGGCCCCATGCCGCCAGCAGGTGCATCCTCACGCCAGACCCGCCCGAGTGCCCTGGGGGCCTGGAGGGCGACGGGCTCACGAGCGGGCGCGCGACCCCAACCTGCGCGACGATCGCTGGCCGGGGCCTGTTCGAGAGGCTGTGCGAAGACGTCACCACCAAGCTGCACCGCGTGCAGGAGCGAGACGCTCCCCTCACAGCGTTCACCCCCGCCTTGTGGCAGTGCTCATTTCGATGCATCCGACTCGATTCGATATCATTTTGATCGATCGCGGTCCTGATCCGATTCGATTTCGGATTCCGACTTGGGCGTCGGTTGCGCAGTGTAGGCCCTTCTAGACTGACGATTTCCGCCGATTCGACTTCTCCTAAATTGGCTGCCGATTTCCGCCGATCCGATTAGTTTCGTTCGCCGATCCGACTTATCGATTCGATTCTGGGCTGTCCTGCTTTGGAGCAGCCCGCTGGGGGGCTGAGGTGGCCCAGAATCGGTTCTGGCCGGGGGAGCGGGGGCCCCCCCGTTGCCACGGCTGGACGCGGCTCGAACAGCTGGTCAGTTTCGACCCTGGGGGGGGGAACCGATTTTGAGTTTGTTTGCGCTTCATCCCCTCCTCTTGACCGATTTTCTCGGGCCCATCCAATGCAAATCCCCGGGCCGCTTCTAACACCCACGTCTTCTCATGGTGGCAAAAATCGCATGTATTGTTTTTTATATCAGTTTTCGGTGTCTGGGGCCCCATACTGGGCCCTGACGCTGTCAAAGAACCACTCAGGATGAAAGGCTAGTCCTGGGGAAGGGGTCCAGATCTCTGGGGGCCCGCTTTGCGAAGCAATAGCGACGTCGGAGTTCTGGGTAGGTGCTCCCAACAGTGCTCGGGCCGCTCCGATTGTGGTCTGGTCGGCTTTGGTTCTGTTGACGTCAAAGACACTTGTTGGTCATCGGCCGTGGGAGAAATCGCGCGGCGGTGGGGTGTCCATCCGGACTCGGGAGCGCACGCGAACTGCGCTCGGGAGAAGGCGCGGAACAGGAGGAGAGGCGACGGCCGCGGAAGGAGGAACTTGTGATTCTCACAGATGGGGTCCTGTGGGATGGGGCCCTCAGGACGAGGCGCCTCAGGCAGCGTTCATCCACCCTTGGATCCATTCCTATCATTAGGACCCCATCCCCCAGGACCCCGTCGTTGAGCTGCTGACGGGAGGCATAGGCCCGATCTCGACTCGACGCGCCCTGGCCGCGTGCTGCCCGGTGCTGGTTCGTCGGAGGGCCCTGCCGAGACGACGCTCTGAGCAGGCCGCGGCGCCCGAGGCATCCTCCAGAGCCGCCAGATCTCAGAGATCCTCGATTTGTCCTGACCCGATTTTATCCTCGTCCTGTTTTTGTCTTAGAAGTAGTCTGGGAGAGCCTCGCCTCAGGAGCCCACGCGCAGAGAGGGGCGCGGGGAAGGGGGAAAGGCTTCTCAGAGACGCCCCTGCTTATCAGAAGGCGCTGGCCTTATCCGTAGATGTGGGGCGGGCGCCTTCAAAGAGGCGGCCTCCTAAGAATCCTTCCCCCCTCCCGGTACCCCCCTTGTGCGCGCCGCCAACAATCGGCGGTCTAGCAGCGATGCATTGTCGATCCCGGCCGGGTGCGCGACGCAAAAAGGCCGGGCCGTGTTCGCCGACATTGGCACGTAAGCTGCCTGCGTACGGTCGCCCGGAAGCGCCCCCGTGTTGATTGCAGCGGGCCGCGCTGGCGGCCCGCATACGCCACCTCGAAGATGTGCGGCCGGCTCCCTCGAGGAAGCGGCATCTTTCTGAAATGCCTCCCCCCGTCCTCCTACCTCTTTGCTCGAGTAGGAGATTGCAGGCCAGCCACAACTGGGGGAGCTGTGGTCCTTACCCCTCTGGGGGAACCATTGATTTCGACACCCCTCTCGAGAGATAGTCGATGCGAACGGTTCCTCCAGGGGGGTAAGGACCACAGCTCCCCTTGTTATGGCTGGTCGGGATTGATGACATAACTGATCTACCCTCAAATTAGTTCCCTCGTCGAACCTGCGAGAGAGGTAACTAGAACGCTCCGTAGCTCTGCGGAGCATTCGGGGCATTTTTTCGATCGGCTCGACGAGGAAACCACGTCTTGAGCACATCTAGTCTGTGGTCGGTCTCCTACTCTCAGGAGGGGAAAAACACACAGACACAATTGATCGTCGACTCCCAGGAAAACATGGGAGCATGTGGGAAGTGGGGGGAAGACGAACACCCAGAACATACGAGAACCTAGGGGGAGTCCTGCTATTTGTTTGTGTGTGTACACTTTTTTTTCTGTGCCCCTGGGCCCCTTCACACTCGACTGGTGCGCGCCGCCGAGCAGGAGCACCAGCAGGGGCTCGGAGAGGACGGCCGCACGGCCCCTGCCGGCGGGGAGGCCGCGCGCTCGGTCCTGCGGCAGGCGCTCTGCGCGGCGGGGCCGCCCGCCCGGCCGCCGGAGCCCGCCGCGCTGCTCGCGGGCCAGGAGGGCGCCTTTTTGTTTGGCGGGTTCCCTGGCGAGCACGGGCGTCACCAGAGGGGGGGGGGCGGGAGGGGGGAGGATTCTTGACTCCCTGGCGAGCACGGGCGTGACGTGGGGGGGCGGGGAGGGGGGGGATTCTTGACTCCCTGGCGAGCACGGGGCGTGACGTGGGGTGGGTGGGGGGAGGGGGAGGATGCTTGATTCCCTGGCGAGCACGGGCGTGACGTGGGGGGGGGGGGGAGGATTCTGATTCCCTGGCGAGCACGAGCGTGACGTGGGGGGGGGGGGGAGGGGGGAGGGTTTTTGATTCCCTGGCGAGCACAGGCGTGACGTGGGGGCGAGGGGGGGAGGGGTGCAGGACGTCTTTGTTTGATTCCCTGGAGAACACGGGCGTGACTGGAGGGGAAGGGAGGGGGAGGAGGAGGAGGAGGAGGAGGAGGAGGAGGAGGAGGAGGAGGAGGAGGAGGAGGAGGAGGAAGGGAGTCTACCATTCCACCGCTCTTTCCCTCTGGGGCCGACTCCGCGGAGCTCGAGGTGCTCTCCTTTCTTGCCCGCCATGCGCGGGCGCTACCGACGCTACGGGTGCGAGTGTGCGCCCTCTAGCTTGCGCAAAAAAGATGATGTTGCTGATGATGATGGTGGTGTCGATGATGATGATGATGATGATGATGATGATGATGATGATGATGATGATGATGATGATGATGATGATGATGATGATGATGATGATGATGATGATGATGATGATGATGATGATGATGGGAGTGCGTGCACATGAATGGGGTAAGAGAGCGGCTTGTCGTCTGCCAACTTGTCTGAAAGAGTATCAATCCCACTGTGTGGGATCGCGGCTATGCAAGTTCCGAAGTCTTTTTGGCTCAAGGGTTGAGCCTGCGACCTCCGGCCTTGGCAGTGTATGGCCGGAGGGCCTCTCCAGAAGCTGCTCCTGCTCGCGGGTCACGAGGCATTGACCTACTGGCTGCTTCGACCGCCTGAATCTCCGACGCCCATCTGCCCACCTTGCGAGTGCAGGTGCCCGGCGCTGAAGGAGCCGAGGCCCGCGGCGCCGGCGGCCGCCGAGGAGGAGAGCCCGCAGTGGGGCTCGTTGCTCCAGGCCATCGCCGCCGGCTCGGCGGGCCAGCTCGTGGGGCGTCTTGCCTGGGAGTGCGGCCGCCGGGCCCTCACGTGCTGCTCGTGGTGCAAGCGCCATGGCGATCGCTCCGTGCGTCGTGGTGGACTCGATCGGAGTTTTGGAAGACTCTGATGCCGGGGTCCCGGCTGCTGGTGTGGTACGGCGACGACACCGTGTGGCATGAGAGGCTGGCGGTGTGGCCAGTCCAGGGTGCACAGTGGGTGCTGCAGGCGCCAGACAAGGACGTCTACCCAGAGTACCTGGACGGGTCCGATCCAGATGGCCTCGAGCGCGCCATCCCGCTGCTGGTGGACGGGCGACTGCCTCGCCTCGGTGCTCAGGCGTACCGCTTCCAGGAGTCGCCGACGCGCGACGAGCTCAAGGCGGTGATCCGTCAGGGCCATGCGCAGGCAGAGGAGATTGTCCGCTCCGCAGGCCTGGAGCTCCAGCGGCCCGAGCAGGTGATGGTGAGGTTCGGTGAGGTGACGACGCTGGACGATTTCTTCGGCGGCAACTTCCTTCCGCGGCGTCGGGCTCGCCTGCCCGCCGTGGCCGATGCGGGTGCTGCAGGAGACGCGGGCGGGGAGGTGTTCCCCGCGCGCGGGCCGGGGCCGGCCATCGCGGGCCACGTCTAGGCGCTGGCCGAGCCCTCTGCTATCGGACCCGTGGGCAGCGAGGTCAAGCTTGAGGCCGAGGACGTGCGGGCCGACAGGTACGACGCCCTGGTCACCCGCGGAAATGGGCATCGACGGGTCACATGCATTCGGGCTGATCTCGTCGAGAGGTTCATTGCCGACTGGCGCGGGATGGCCCGAGCGGAGTTGCTGGTCACAGGCGAGGCCCAGCCCGAAGCGGGCCGTGCGCCGACCATCCTGGGCGCGGACCCGGGCCAGCCAGCTGCGACGACGGGTGCTGGTGACAACGGCGACGCCCGCGCGCTCTGGTTGGACTACGACGAGCTGGGGACCAGGTACAAGGATTTTCGCAAGTGCTGCCAGGAGTCCCACAGCCTTGTGGATCCAGACTCCCCGCTGCAGGGGCCCTCCACGGTGCACGCCGTCACGCGCCACATGGAGCGCCACGGGGGCAACCCTCGCATCTGGCTGGCGATCTGGGCGCGAGAGCGCCGCATTCAGGACTCGGACCGCGTGATGCACGAGATGCGGTGCCTGATCGACATCATCTTCCTGGGGGCGACCTACGATCAGATCAACCTCCCAGCGCTCGCCAGTATGGAAGTGGCCGCGCGCCGGGTGTGGGCGCGCACCAGGTCACCGGCAAGGCCCCGGACTGACAGTTTGCACGCCACTTCGCGGGCGCGTCCTCGGCGGTCGACGCGATCGCGCCCGAGATGAGGCAGCACGTGGCCGAGAAGGCGAAGGAGGGCGCCGACGTTGCTGCTGGGGCCCAGCGGGCGCGGACGCTCCGCGCTGGCTCTGGCGAGGAGGAGGCCCCGGGGGGGGGCGCAGGAGGCGGAGGTCGGGGGAGGGGCGGCCGAGGCCGCGGCGGCGGCGCTGATGGCCGCGGCCGGGGCAGTGGCGCCCCCCCCGGGGCCCAATGGCGACCCCTGGGCACGGCGGGGGGAATGGGCCCCCCCCCGCCGAGACGTGTCGGCCCACGTCGGCCGCCCTTCCGCCGGGGCGGGGCTCGCGCCTGCTCTTCCCGATCCCCCAGGTGGCGGAGGGGCTCAGCGGCCGGCATCGGCGTGAGCGACGAGGACCCCGTGGCCATCGGCGCACTTTCGCCGTCGTCAATCGGGCGATCAGGGCGCTCAACTGGTTGGAGGGCCTTGAGAGCAGCACATTTTCGCGTCGGTGTGACTTCGCCGGCATGCAGAACGAGGTAGTGGCGCGCATCGAGGGCCTGGTCAGATCCCAGGAGCCGTTCGCAGACGCACCCTCGCCTAGATCGTCATTTTTGCAGATTGTCCGTGGCATCTCGCTGTGCGAGGAGAGCCAGTCGAACGTTGCCCCCTTCCAGCTGCGCCTTGTCTCTTTGCCGGCCGATGTCTCCACGGCTCCGTCCGCGTGCGACCTAGTCGACCAGCAGGGGCGCCTCTTCCTGGAGGGTTGTGGAGAGCGTATGCTACGAGACACCGGCGAGTTTGAAGACTTGCGACGGCGCGAGCCCGTCAAGCCGTACTCAGATCCCCGCCTGGCGCGGCCTTCGCTTCATCCGCCGCACGCGGCACCGGCATGCCCCGGTACACCACGCGGCCGATCGATTTCATGGGATCCTTCTTCGTCTGGAAGAAGGGCAGGACCACGCAGAGATTGATCCTAGACGGGCGAACCGCCAATCAACGGTTTGCTCAACCTCCTCATGTGGACTTACTGACTGCAGAGGGCCGCTCGTCCATCAAGGTCTACGTCGACGAGGGCCCCGAGCTGGCCGCTGACCTGGGCCGAGGCGCTCGCCGCGGAGGTCGACCTCTCGGGCCTGCTCATCGACGGCGATCGGGCCTTTGGTAACGCCCACGTGTGGCCGGCCGCGCGCCCTCTGCCCATGGGGTTTGCATGGGGCCTCTATACTTCTGCCAGAACGCCAACGCCGGGCTCTCCGGCGGCGCGCCTCTGCTCCGCCACGCCCGCCTGCTGTCCGACCGCGGGGACTGGGCGGTCCTCGCGACTGGCGCCCCCGAGACGGACCTCTGGCGGTGCGTCTACGTGGGCAACCTCGGGGCCGTGGGCCGGGACGCCGACGCGGTGGGCGCCGCCCTGTCGGAGCAAGTCCGGGTCTTTGGTGAGAATGGCCTGGACATTCACGAGGTCGAGCTATTCGCCGAGAAGGGCTCCGCGCTGGGGGTCGACCTGGGCGGGTCGCGGCTCGTGACCTGCCTCACTGCCAAGCGGCGGGTGACGCTTGAGTGGGGGCTGCTCTACCTCCTCCAGCGCGGCCGCGCGAGCGGGCAGATGGTGGAGAGCGTCCATGGCCACTGCGCCTACGCCGCCCTTATGAAGCGCGAGACCATGACCGTGTTCTCAGCGGCGTACGCGTTTGTGCACGCCACGTACACGAAGGGCGTCGAGCTCTGGAGGGCCGTCAAGGCCGAGTTCGCCGCGTTCGTCGGGCTGCTGGTCTTCATGGAAAGCGACTGGTGGCTGCCGTGGAACAGGGGCGTCACCGCCTCGGACGCGTCGCCGGAGGGCTTCGGCATTGTCAGCTCTCGCTGGTCGTCCCACGACGTTGCCGGCGTCGGACGAGTCCGGGAGCGAGGCCGCTTTCGCCGGGGAGGGACTGTCGCCCCGCGCGAGTCCGCCATGGCGGCTGCCGGCTTTGTGCTCGAGGATGGGCGCTGGCGGCCACGGGTGGGCGACGAGCTCGACGAGGACTGGTCCATCGCGGAGGGCTTCCCCGAGGTGCCGGCCCGCTTTCTTCATCCGAGGGGCTGGCGCGTGTGCCGCTCAGGCACTTGGGGCAGACACGATCGCATCACTCTGCTGGAGGCTCGGGCCCTGCTGGCGTCCGTGCGCCGGCTGGCGCAAGTCGCTGTCGGCGGCAACCGCAGGCACCTCCACCTCTGCGATGACATGTCGGTGGTGCTGGCCGTGAGCCAGAGCTGTTGCCGGGACTTCACGCTGCTGACCGTCCTGCGCAAGCTGAGCAGGCTGCACGTGGGGTGGGTGCCGAGCGAGCTGAATTTTGGTGACGAGCCGCCCCGCATCTTCTCGGTAAAAGCATCGTCGTCGCTCGCCTGGGTCATCCCTGACGTCGTCCGCAAGGCACGGCCGCCACAGGCTCGAGCCGATGAGCGAGGAGCGGAAGCGGCGGCGGACCTTGACCGCGCGGGCCTCTGGGGATGCGCTGGGCCCCGTCTCGGCTCCGACTCTGGCGAGGAAGGTGCGGGCCCTGGTGGCAGCGGAGCCGCGGCTCCCAGCCCGCGCGGGCGCGCGGGCGGGGATCTCGCGAGCGAGACAGCTCTCGCCGCAGCTGCCGTTGGGGATCCCCCTGCAGCCGAGGGCGCCTGCGAACCAGACTCTGGACGAGTGGGCGCAGCAGACCGTCCGCGAGGAGAGCGGGGGCTACGTCGGCAGGCGCAGCACTCCGAGGCCGCCCACGTCGAGCTCCTCAAGCACTGGGCCCGCATCCGCGGGCGTCAGCCGGGCCGCCCGACGAGAGCGGACGCTTGCGACCCGGTCGAAGCGCCGGCTCTGGTGCTACCTCGAAGAGAAGTTCGGGGCCGAGAGCGACGGGATCACCATGCTCGAGAAGCGCGCGGTGACGGACAAGGTCCACCTCGAGTGCACCTACGAGGTGGCGTCCTTCACGACGTTCGCGGCAGCCCAGGGCGTCATCGTGGACCGCGCCGAGGCCGACGCCGTGGACGCCGTTTTCGCGTCATACCTCGAGCAGTGCTTCTTCAAAGGCTTTCAGCCGTCGACCGGGGCCAAGGCTCTGGCGGGCTGGATCCACCCCCACCCTGCCTACGGCCGCCGGGGCTCCTTGAAGCTCCCGCGGGCCTGGAGGGCGCTTCAGGGGTGGCACAAGCTTTGCCCTGGGCGCTCTCGGAAGCCGGAGGGGCTTGGCGTCTGGTTCGGCCTCGCGAACGCCATGTGCCACCTCGACCGGCCCCGGATGGCTGCGTTCGTCCTCCTGGCCGTTTCCACTTACCTCAGGCCGGGGCCGCGCAGGGTGTCACTCGCCATTGGTCAGTCCTCGTCCACCCTCACGAGCGACCAGGGCGGAGCAAGATCGGGGGCTCGGACGTGTCCATCCTGCTCGACAGCGATTGGGCCAAGGACCTGAACCCGCTCTGGGAGCGCCATTTCGGCTACGGCGAGTACCTCCACACATTTCGTCGTGCTGCTCGACTGATCGGCGTGCCGGACCTGGTCCCGTACCAGACGCGCCACAGCGGACCGAGCGTGGACCGCGCTCAGGGCTCCCGCTCCTTGCTGGAGGTTCAGAAGCGTGGCCAGTGGAAGTCCGGCAAGAGCGTCGCCCGTTACGAGAAGCACGCCAGGCTTGCCGACTCGTTCCACCGGCATCTAGCCGCCCTCCAGGCCTACTTCCAGGAGTGCGAGCTTCGCGGCATGGAGATCGTCCTCCACGCGCGCCTCGTGCCGCCCCCTTCTTCGGGGCGGACTCGATGAGGGATAAGTACATTGCCGACGGGTTCGCTGGCAAAGGGGGGGTCGTCAAGGCCCTGAGGCAGCTTGGTTTCCAGGCTCGCACCTGGGAGATCTCCCACGGCTCGCATGGCGACCTCACCTCAAGCCGCGTGCTGAAGCCGCTCCTGGCTGACATACGCAGGCGCCGCTGCCTAGCAGTGATGCTGGCGCCCCCCTGTAGCAGCCTCAGCAGAGCACGCGTCCGTGCCGCGCCCATCCGCTCTGTCCGCCGGCCATGAAGGTTTTCGAGGGAGGAGCTCAGCCTGAAAGACTGGAGCAAACTCAAGGAGGGCAACACATGTTGTAGGGCCTCACTGGCCATAATTCGTGAGTGCAACGCTGTTGGTGCCTCTTGGATTTTGGAAAACCCTGACACTAGCTACATGTTTAAGACTCCTGAGTTCCAGCGCCTGGCCCCCCCCGCGTCCGTGGCGACGTTGACCGTAGATTTCTGTCAGTTCGGTGCCCCCTGGAAGAAACGCACGACTCTTTTGTGCGGGAACATTCCCTTCCAGGACTTCCAGGGGCTTTCGCGCCAATGCAGCGGCGCCAAGGGCGTTTGCAGCCGGACAGATCGTAAACATGCAATCGTTTCTGGCCCAGCGCCGAGTGGAGTGCCGTGGGCACAGGTTGCACAGCCTTGCCCACAACAGCTCAATCGTGCGCTGGCTCGTGCGCTGGTGGCCCCGATCCGAGCTAAACTATTTCAAGCATGAGTCACATCCTCAGGTGCTTTGGGGATGCTTTGGGACTTTTTCGACGAGCGGAGGAGGGCGGTGCATCCAGGGCCGCCCCAATATTTGGACCCTCCGCTCGCTGTGGTCTCATCGCGATGACTGAGTAGTGTTCTCGAAGACAGATTGCACCAGGCGCGCCAGCGCTTCAGAAAGGTGGAAATCGTTTCTCTCCTGGCTCTCGGTCCCCATGGGAGTGCGCGCACATGAATGGGGTAAGAAAGCGGCTTGTCGTCTGCCAGCTTGTCTGAAAGAGTATCAATCCCACTGTGTGGGATCGCGGCTACGCAAGTTCCGAAGTCTTTTTGGCCCCCACCCGCAGCCACCCAATGTCTGATGTAGCAGAGACAAAACTTCTTCGTCGACCGGAGGAGGGCGGTGCATCCAGGGCCGCCCCAATATTTGGACCCTCCGCTCGCTGTGGTCTCATCGCGATGACTGAGTAGTGTTCTCGAAGACAGATTGCACCAGGCACGCCAGCGCCTCAGAAAGGTGGAACTCGTTTCTCGCCTGGCTCTCGGTCCCCATGATGATGCTGCTGATGCTGATGCTGATGCTGATGCCGCTGAAGCAGATGCTGATGCTGATGATGATGATGTTGTTGTTGATGTTGGTGTTGGTGTTGATGTTGAGGATGATGATGATTATGATGATGGTGGTGGTGATGATGATGTGATGTTGATGATGATGCTGATACTGCTGCTGATGATGATTATGATGACGCAGATGATGATGATGGTGATGATGATGATGATTATGATGATGCTGATGCTGATGACGGTGATGATGATGATGCGGATGCTGTTGATGATGGCGATTGCGATGGGGATGGCGATGGTGATGCTGATTATGCTGATGATGATGATGATGACGAGGACGATAATGATGAGACTGATGCTGGTGGTGGTGGCAATGATGATGCTGTTGATGATGGTGCTGCTGATGACTATGATGCTGCAGGTGATGATGGTGATGTCGATCATGACGATGCTGGTGCTGATGATCGCGATGATGATTATGATGCTGATGTTGATGGCGGTGATGATGATGATGACGAGGATGCCGATGATGATGGCGATGGCGATGGCGATGGCCATGGTGTGATGATTAGACTGATGATGTTGATGACGATGATGATGAACATGATGATGATGATGCTGATGATGATGTTGCTGATGATGATGCTGATGTTGATGATGATGCTGATGATGATGACGATGATGATGATGGTGCTGATGCTGATGTTGATGCTGAGGATGATGAAGAGGAGGAGGAGGAGGAGGAGGAGGAGGAGGAGGAGGAGGAGGAGGAGGAAGATAATGCGGAAGTGGAGGAGGAGGAGCAGGATGAGCGCGTCGTCCCCCTTTTGGCTCGCGCCGCTTTCGTCCTCCCCCTTTCGGTCCCTCACCTCCTGGTCGTCGTCGGCCCCCGTTCCTTCAGCGCCGCAGCCTCGACCAGAGGTCGCCTGGCTTTTGTTTTGTTCCCCCCAGGGACGACCGGCCCTGGTGGCCAGATGGTCACATCCGTTTGGGTCTTCAGGCCATCAGTGCGTCAGTGCTTCAGGAGCAGTTGGGGGAGGAGGAGGAGGAGGAGGAGGAGGAGGAGGATAATCAGCGAGACACGCATGAGAGTTGGGGGATGGGTGAGAAGGCGGGGGAGACCAGTTGTTTAAATCCCGAGCGATACTGGGCGTCAAGAGGGTTGGGTGCAAGGGGGGCGGGGGGCCGGTACGGTCACGTTTGGCGCCGGCGCCGTCTGGGAACGCCGAGGGACCACCAAAGACACCTCGGAGGTCATCACGAAGCGTGAAGTTACCTGGGGGGGGGCGAGGGGCGGAAGGGTGGCCAGGGCCGGTAACGACCGCTATGGCGAAATATATGGAAACCATCTCCAGGCGGTGCTGCCGCCTGCAGAGGTCCAGTGGCAGCAGGCTTCGGGCAAGAGCGCATTGCAGCCGGCTTCCCAAACCCCGTCGGGGTCATGAAACAATCACGACGGGAGGTTTGTGCAAATTTTCAATATTTTGGGGCCTTCACAGGGCCCCGGGACCGTCAAAAACGCTCAGGGCGAAAAAGCGGTCCTTGGGAATGGGTACAGACTTCGGGGGGTTGACGACATGAAAAGACCATGACGTCGGTGTTCTACGTAAGTTCGGGGAAGGCACATCTGCACATACATCTGGTTATGTGTCACTTTTGTTGTGCAGGCCAGCAGTCACGCGCGGCGGTGGTGCAATCTGGGATCGCGCTCTCCTCCTCCTCCTCCTCCTCCTCCTCCTCCTCCTCCTGCTCCTCCTCCTTCTCCTCCTCTCCTTTCAAAGCAACAATATGGGCAAACATCTGGCCAACAGAGGTCGGTCGATGGAAAAATCAACCCAGATCTCCAACGACACGTTTTTGTCAATGCTGGCGCTCTCCCCTGAACAGTGCTTGCACCGAGGGTTCTCTTGCCTATGCCACTGAAGAACTAGATCGGTCCGGCGAGGACTCTCCACGTTGCAGCCCGTGGCTGCCTCGTGGCCGCCTCGTGCACTGTGTGGCTCTAATTTCGATGCACGCAGGTGATTGGAGGCCTGGAAATGGGCACCAGCACCAACACAGGGGGTTGCCTCCACAGAGGGAAGATTATCCTAGATCTCGATCTTGGTAGTAATCTTTCGGTCACCTCGGAAGCCAGAATGTCACCACCACCACCGAGATCGGGATATGATCCCTCGGTGGAGGCACGCCGCCGATACTGGTGTTGGTGTCAACCTCTGGGCCAGTCAGGTGAAGGGCAGTGAGGCTTGCATCTCCGCCTCCTCGCGTCTCTGCGCGCCGCGTGCCTCCAGCAGCACGCCCGGCGCCTTCCGGGGGTGGGGGGAGCGGGGCCTCTGCGAGACCCGCGGTATGGCCGGTGCGAAGCAAGATGGGCTGGAGAGTGGAAGCTGCCATCTGATCAAAAGGTCGGTCGATTGAGACATCACCCCAGATCTCCAGCGACACGACCTGTTCCATTCCGTTTTTTCTCTCCCCGGCTGGTGCTTGCACAAATGGGGTTGTTACGCGTGTCCTTAAGGAGTTGGATGGGTACGGCGAGAGCTTTCCACATTGCCGCCCGTGGCCGCCTCGTGCGCTGGGTCAGTCCATCGAGGCTTCGGGGAAGAGCACATCTGGGCAAATTCGGGTTCACGAAGGTGAAGCGAAGTGCGACTTTCATCTCCACCTCCTCGCTTCTCTGCGCGCGCGTGCCTCCCGCAGCACATCCGTCGCCTTTCGGGGGTGGAAGGCGGGGCCTGAGAGACTCGTTGCCTGGCCAAGGCAACAACAAAAATGCTGAGGAGTAGAAGCTACTATCAGGCCAAAAGATCGGTCGATTGAAAAGGCACCCCAGATTTCCAACGGCATGATTTTGAAATGCCGGCGTTTTCCCTAGAGTTCGGCTTTCCAGGCCCTTTGAAGCTCTGGTGCCGTCCAAAGTGGATCTGGGACGAAAAACTACCCGTCTCGAGCTCATCCTCCCTTGCCTCATCCTCACCCTCCTTCAAACCCTCCTCCTTACCATCTCCCTTACCCTCCTCCTTACCCTCCTCCTTAGCTTCCCCCTTGCCCCCTTCCTTACCCTCCTCCTCCTCGTCCTCCTCCTCCTCCTCACCTTGGAAAGGGGTCGGGAGCTCTGGGGCCGCGAAATGAACAAAGCAGTTCGTCGGATGTCTAGGGCGCTGAAGGCAAGGGGGTCAGCCCCGTGGCGGAGCACGCAGGTATCGGCCCACCCCAGCCCACCCGTAAGAGAGAAGCGTCCTCCTCCTCCTTACACTCCTCTCCATCACCCGCCTCTCCTCCTCCTCCTCCTCCTCCTCCTCCTCCTCCTCCTCCTCCTCCTCCTCCCTCCTCCTCCTCCTCCTCCTCCTCCTCCTCCTCCCCTCCTCCTCCTCCTCCTCCTCCTCCTCCTCCTCCTCCCTCCTCCTTCTCATTTCACTCCTCCTCCTCCTCCTCCTCCTCCTCCTCCTCCTCCTCTTCCGCCCCTCGTGTTTGGTTGCCCCGGGTGGTCCTCCTCCCGCTCACTCCCGCCTCGGCGGGCGCCGCGCGGTGGCGGCACGGTGCCCCGCGACCGCAGTCGCCGCGATCCTCGTCGGCGTCCTGGACCGCACCGCGGGCCACCTGGACGAGGGCGTCGGCGTCGTCTTGGCGCGGTTGTCGTTCCTCGCGGTTTTGCCTGCTTGGCGCGACGGGCGGCGCCACCAACCGCACCGCGCAGGGCGCATTCGCGCCGGGGCCCGCGGAGCTCTCCGCCGCCGCGACGAGCAAGTGGCACGGTGATGGCCGAGCTGGCGGCCGCGGCTCCGCGGCCGCCCCCGCGGGTTCGTTGGCGGCCCCTTCGCGCGCGCGCGCCCGCGGGGCAGCTCCCCTCCTCCTCCTCCTTCGTCCTCCTCCTCACCCTCTTCCTCGTCCTCCCGTTCTTTTTCCTCCTCCTCGTCCTCCCCCTCCTCCTCCTCCTCCTCCTCCTCCTTCCTCCTCCTCCTCCTCCTCCTCCTCCTCCTCCTCCTCCTCCTCCTCCTCCTCCTCCTCCTCCTCCCCCTCCCCACCACTGGAGGAACAGGATGCTGAAAAGGCGCGGTGGGGGCTCGCCCGATTGCGAAGGTGTTTCAAGCTCCGCTGCGAACCGCCGGCGAGAAATTTCCAGCGGCTTTCTCCTAGGCCCAGCCTGTGGCGCTGTAGATTCGTTATCGGTTAACAATGGACTAGCTAAGTGATCCGGGATCGATTAACGCAGCAATCACCAACGGTTGCCTGGATGCATTCGGAATCGCTCAAGTTAATGTACTTTGCAACGCAAGCAATCAGCAGTGCAATGCATTGTGATCCAAACAAACCCCAAACACACTAGGCAGGGATAGTCCAATGCATTTGTTTTTACCTAACAGCGAAGACTGATAGGTTTCTAATGGTGTAAAAAGAGAGCAGCACATTGCTCCGCAGGGGGGTCTGGGCAGCCGTTGGGGAGCCGTTGGGGGGCCGTTGGGGGGCCGTTGGGAATTGCCGGGGAACTTCGTTTTTCGCAAACAGTCACGCACTTCGTGCTCTTCGACCTCCCAGAACTCCATTCTTCGACCTCCCAGAACTCCATTCCCGGGCCACATTCTGAATGCCCGGAGCCAACTGTAGGCCACTTCGTGGTCTTCGAGTTCCCAGAACTCCATTCCCGGGCCACATTTTGGATGCCCGGAGCCAACTGTAGGCCACTTCGTGGTCTTCGAGTTCCCAGAACTCCATTCCCGGGCCACATTTTGGATGCCCGGAGCCAACTGTAGGCCACTTCGTGGTCTTCGAGTTCCCAGAACTCCATTCCCGGGCCACATTTTGGATGCCCGGAGCCAACTGTAGGCCACTTCGTGCTCTTGGACTTCCCAGAACTCCATTCCTGGGTATGATTTTGAATGCCCGGAGCAAACTGTAGGCCACTTCGTGTTCTTCGAGTTCCCAGAATTCCATTCCCTGGCCACATTTTGAATGCTGAGGCAGGCTGATGCTGAGGCTGAGGCAGGCTGAGGCAGGCTGAGGCTGAGGCCGAAGCTGAAGGCAGACTCAGGCTGAGGCTGATGCAGGCTGAGGCTGAGGCTGAAGCAGGCTGAGGCTGATGCAGGCTGAGGCTGAGGCAGGCTGAGGCTGAGGCTGAGGCTGATGCAGGCTGAGGCTGAGGCAGGCTGAGACTGAAGCCGAGGCTGAAGGCAGATTGAGGCTGAGGCTGAAGCAGGCCGAGGCTGAGGCTGAGGCTGAGGCAGGCTGAGGCTGAGGCTGAGGCAGGCTGATGCTGAGGCAGGCTGAGGCTGAGGCTGATGCAGGCTGAGGCTGAGGCAGGCTGAGGCTGAGGCCGAGGCTGAAGGCAGAGGCTGAGGCTGAGGCTGAGGCTGAGGCTGAGGCTGAGGCTGAGGCTGAGGCTGAGGCTGAGGCTGAGGCTGAGGCTGAGGCTGATGCAGGCTGAGGCAGAGGCAGGCTGAGACTGAAGCCGAGGCTGAAGGCAGACTGAGGCTGAGGCTGAAAGGCTGAGGCTGAGGCTGAGGCAGAGGCAGGCTGAGGCTGAGGCTGAGGCAGGCTGATGCTGAGGCAGGCTGAGGCTGAGGCTGAGGCTGATGAGGCAGGCTGAGGCTGAGGCCGAGGCTGAAGGCAGACTGAGGCTGAGGCTGAAGCAGGCTGAGGCTGAGGCTGAGGCAGGCTGAGGCTGAGGCTGAGGCAGGCTGATGCTGAGGCAGGCTGAGGCTGAGGCTGAGGCTGATGCAGGCTGAGGCTGAGGCTGAGACTGAGGCTGAGGCCGAGGCTGAAGGCAGACTGAGGCTGAGGCTGAAGCAGGCTGAGGCTGAGGCTGAGGCAGGCTGAGGCTGAGGCTGAGGCAGGCTGATGCTGAGGCAGGCTGAGGCTGAGGCTGAGGCTGATGCAGGCTGAGGCTGAGGCAGGCTGAGGCTGAGGCCGAGGCTGAAGGCAGACTGAGGCTGAGGCTGCAGGCTGAGGCTGAGGCTGAGGCTGAGGCTGAGGCAGGCTGAGGCTGAGGCTGAGGCAGGCTGAGGCTGAGGCTGAGGCAGGCTGAGGCTGAGGCTGAGGCTGAGATGCAGGCTGAGGCTGAGGCCGAGGCCGAGGCTGAAGGCAGACTGAGGCTGAGGCTGAAGCAGGCTGAGGCTGAGGCTGAGGCAGGCTGGGCTGAGGCTGAGGCAGGCTGGCTGAGGCTGAGGCTGCTGAGGCTGAGGCTGCAGGCTGAGGCTGAGGCAGGCTGAGGCTGAGGCCGAGGCTGAAGGCAGACTGAGGCTGAGGCTGAAGCAGGCTGAGGCTGAGGCTGAGGCAGGCTGAGGCTGAGGCTGAGGCAGGCTGATGCTGAGGCAGGCTGAGGCTGAGGCTGAGGCTGAGGCAGGCTGAGGCTGAGGCAGGCTGAGGCTGAGGCCGAGGCTGCAGGCAGACTGAGGCTGATGCAGGAGCAGGCTGAGGCTGAGGCTGAGGCAGGCTGAAGCTGAGGCTGAGGCTGATGCTGAGGCAGGCTGAGGCTGAGGCTGAGGCTAATGCAGGCCACTGCGACTGTCATCGCGAATGCGACTACGACTGCGAGAACAGCAGAACTCTACAACTGGATTCTCATCTGAATCTTAAGGGGGATGCTTCCAGATATGCTCCTACACATCGCTGTTAGGTTGCTTTGCCGGGATAATTCACGTTCCAGGCTAGCTCCTCCGTTGCCGTCGCGCATTGCGTCATCCTTAGCTGACGTCCTCGCCGGGCCGACTGGGGGAGATGCTGTTTGTTTCGGTCGGGGCTTCGGCCCCTCCTGTTTTATTTAATCGCTTCGCTCATTCCGCCGGCCCATATTGTCGCACCGTTGTGGGCTAGCCGAGTTTGGGGGCCTCTTGGGGGCCGTTTTGGGGCCTCTTGGGGCCTCTTTTGGGCCTCTTGGGCGCCTCTTGGGGCGTCTTGGGGGCCTCTTGGGGGCCTCTTGGGGCCTTTTTGGGGCCTCCTGGGCGCCTTCTGGGGCGGAGGGCTCGATTTTTCAGTTCTCGGTTCCCCTCTTGAGCCCCTCTTGGGCCCGTCTTGGGGCCTCTTGGTCCGTCTTGGGCGGCACTTGGGCCGTCTTGGGGGCCCTCCTGGGCCGTTCCGGGGCCGTCTTGGGAGCCTCGTGGGCCGTCTTGGAGCGGTCTTGGGGGCCTCTTGGGCCGTCTTGGAGCGTCCGGAAGCCGAAAAAGCCAGAACGCAAAAAACATAGAAAAAACAATGAAAATCAACGATTTTGGCCTCTTGGGGCCCTCTTCGGAGGCCTCTTGGAAGGCCCTTGGGGCGTCTTGGAGGCCTCTTGGGCTGTCTTGGGGCCCTGTTGGGCGTCTTCGGGCGATCTTTGGCCGTCTCGGGGCCCTCTTGGACCGTCTTGGAGGTTTCTTGGGGACCTCTTGGCCCGTCCTGGGGCCCTGTAACAGGGCTCCGGCATCTCTGGCCCGACCTTGCCGGGACCTTGCCGGGGACTTGCCGGGGACTTGCCGGGACCTTGCCGGGGTACTTTTCGTCCGGGGACCCCCAGGGGCCGCCCCGCGCGCGCGAACTAGAAATACTGTTAACCAGGTACCGGAGATCTTAGCACGCCACGCGAACGCTGCAGCAGTTCTGTCCGCTTTGATTCCAGCCCTTCGTGTTTCCAGCTTCCCCGCCGGCCCGCGCTTCCGGAACTCGGCGCGGGTTTCTTGGATGCGTGTGGGTATCCTCCCCATGGCGCGCTCCGTTCGCCAGATGCGGGGGTCCAGCGCCGATCCACGAAATCCGCGCGGACCTGGGGACTGCATCGAGCCGAAACGCCCACGCATCATTGGTGGGGCCTGATATCTGGCAACCCATCCCGCCCAAGAGCGTGCGTGCAGCTTCGCTATCGGGGGCCTGCCGCCGATCTATCGGCGATGCATCGCCCATCCCAGGTCAATGTTCCCCCTGAGCTAGTCCCCCCCTGTCTCGTCCCCCCTCATGTCCAATGGCAGCATGTCTCCACGAACAAACGGCTTCAGCATAAACCGTGGGAGGCCCGCACTGAGTTTTTCGTATCTGCGCCGGGTCCTTCGTCGACGCCGCCCCTTGGCGCGCTCCGCGCGCCAAGGCGGAGGCCTAGCGTTGATCTTTGAAATGCGCGCCGGCCTCTGATGGCGCGCTGCCGTTGGGAGCCCGTCGGCATGTGTCTCGTTCACGTTCCCGACGGCGGCGTGCAGATCATGTTCTGCTTTGCTTCCTCGTCGTGTCTGTGCCTCTTCTGCTCCTCGCAAGGCCTCGCCAGACCTGGGCGAGCCGCCGCCCGCCGCCCGCGCGGTCGTCTCCGTCGGGAGCCTGGGCCACCCCCACGCCTGCAACGAGGCGTGCAAGTACGTGAAGCGCAAGACGGGCTGCCTCATGGGGGCCTCGTGCAACCGTTGCCACCTGTGCCACTGGCACCGCAGGGGCAAGGACCTCCCCGCGCCGTTCCCCGCGCGGCAGGCGCCCCCGCCGCCGCCGCCCGCCGCCGTGCGCCCGCGGCCGGCCACCACGGCCCCGCCGCTCGCGGCCTCGCCCTGGCCCACCGGTTCGCACTGCGCGCCGCTGGCCGTCGCCTCGATGGAGCCGGCGTACGTGCACGTGCCGCCCGGCGCGGCAGGCGCCGCGGCCTTCGGCGGGGCCCTCGCCGCGGCGGCCGAGGGCGGCGTCGAGGCCGCGCGGGGCGCTGCCTCGGGGAGCCCGTTCCCCTCGCTGGGCTCCGTCGGGCACCCTCACGGCTGCGGGCGCGCGTGCAAGTACGCGGGCAAGGCGAGCGGCTGCAAGGTCTCGAACGAGGAGCATATTCGGCACGAGCACGGACCGTGCGGGCTCCGCGCGGACTTCTTGCATCGGCGCTGGACCCCCCGGACGGGCACCGCTGGCGCCGCCCCCGGGCGGGCTCCGCGCGCGCCAGGGAGGGGGCTTCCGGCGCCGATCCCAGAACGCCGCGCGGATCTCCGAAAGTGTTTGCTCATGTCCGTCTCTGCTCCTCGAAGGTCGGCCCCCTCTGCAATCGCTGCCACCTCTGTCGCTGGACCCGGTCCAGGGAGCACGCGTACGCCAACGGCCTGGCGTAATATTCAGGGCAGGTCGCCCGCGCTCGGGGCAGCCCAGAGAGCACAGCTACAGATGTCCTCGAGGCGAGGGTTATAACTCCCCACGGGTTGCTCCCGGGTGCGGCCCGAATGCTGCAGCGACCAGTCGACCATACAGCAGTCGACACCACCCCACCTGCGGCCCTCCATGTTGCGCTACGGCCCATCTGGCGCCGTAGCGTATACCACGCAAAAGCCCACGCCAGATTTCAGGGTATAGGCCAAGCCCCCTGGAGCCGTAGGTGGGATGGTGTCGTCTGTTAGCTGGTCCAACCAGCTAAGCTGTACATGCTTAGCCTGTCTTGAGTGATGGGTCACTTCGTGTATCGAAGACGCCTACGGCGAATCACCGCCTCCCCCTGCCCCTTTGGAAGCGCTTCTGTGGCCGACATCTGGGCCAAAGCTTGGCCAAGCCATCAGGCCAGTTGTTCCCCGAGTCGGTTTGGAAAGACTTCGGGGAGCGCATGGGGGAGCAAGAAGAGGAGGAGGGGGAGGATGAGGAAAAAAGAGGAGGAGGAGGAGGAGGAGGAGGAGGAGGAGCAGGGGGAGGAGGAGGAGGCCTCTTGGGCGCCTCTTGGGGCACTCTTGGGGCCTCCTGGGAGCTTCCTGGGGGCATCTTGGAGGGATGGTTTTTGGAGGCCTGTGGGGGCTTCTTGGGGGCCTCTTTGGCAGTCTTGGGGTGTACCTGGCTTATCTGACGCCGTCGGAAGCCGTTTTGGGGGCCTGTCTGGGTAGTTTTGGGGCCCTCTTGGGGCATATCAGGGGTTCTTACAGGCCATCCTGGGCGTCTTGGAGGCCCCTTGGGCCTTTTTGGGGCTCTCTTGGGGCCGTCTTGGGAGCCTTTTGGGCCGTCATAGGGCCTCTTTGGCGATCTTGTGGGCCTCTTGCGCCGTCTTGAGCCGTCGGAATGCCGAGAAGAAGCAAATGCCAAAATCTTTCAAAACCTTATGAACATCAATGATTGTGGCCTCTTCGTGCCCTCCTGGAAGGCCTCCTGGACGCCTTTTGGGCCGTCTTGGAGGCCTCTTGGAGGCCTCTTGAGCCGTTTAGGGGCTCTCTTGGGGCCGTCTTGGGAGCCTTTCGGGCCATCATAGGGGCCTCTTTGGCGATCATGGGGGCCTCTTGCGCCGTCTTGAGCCGTCGGAATGCCGAGAAGAAGCAAATGCCAAAATCTTTCAAAACCTTATGAACATCAATGATTGTGGCCTCTTCGTGCCCTCCTGGAAGACCTCCTGGACGCCTTTTGGGCCGTCTTGGAGGCCTCTTGGGGGCCTCTTGGGCCGTCTTGGGCCAGCTTGAGGCCATCTTAGGCAGTCTTCGGTGCATCTGGGGCCGTCTTGGAGGCATCTTGGGGCCATCTTAGCCGTCTTGGAGGCCATTTTGGTCGTCTTGGAGGCCTCTTGGGCCCTGTTGGGGCCGTCTTGGGGGCCTCTTGGGCCGTCATGGGGCCATCTTGGAGGCCTCTTGGGCGATCTTGGGGGCCTCCTGGGCCGTATTGAGCCGTCGGAATGCCGAAAAGAAGCAAATGCCCAAATCCTCAAACACATACGGCAAATCAATGATTGTGGCCTCTTCGGGCCGTCCTGGAGGACCTCTTGGAGACCTCTTGGGCCGTCTTGGAGGCTTCTTGGGGGCTTCTTGGGCCGTCTTAGGCCATCTAGAGGCTATCTTAGGCCGTCTTGGGTGCATCTTGGGCCGTGTTGGAGGCATTTTGGGGCAATCTTTGCCGTCTTGGAGGCATCTTGGGCGTCTTGGAGGCCTCTTGGGCCGTCTTGGGGCCCTCTTGGGGGCATCTTGGGAGCCTCTTGGGCCGTCATGGGGCCATCTTGGAGACCTCTTGGGCGATCTTGGGGGCCTCTTGGGCCGTCGGAATGCCGAAAAGAAGCCAATGACCAAATCCATCAAACCCCTAAGGAAAATCTATGATTTTGGCCTCTTCGGGCCTTCCTGGAGGCCCTCTTGGAGGCCTCTTGGGCTGCCTTCGAGGCCTCTTGGGGGCCTCTTGGGCCGACTTAGGGCATCTTGAGGCTATCTTAGGCCGTCTTGGGTGCATCTTGGGCGGTCTGGAGGCATTTTGGGGCCATCTTAGCCGACGTGGAGGCCATCGTGGCCGTCTTGGAGGCATCTTGGAGGCCATCTTGAGCCATCTTGAGCGAACATTTGGGGATTGAGGTTCTTTTCGGGTGGCCGGCGGGACGCGCCGAAGCCCCAGGGTGAGTTCTTTTGGAAAAAACCAAAACCAAAACCGAAAGGATCCAGCACGCCAAGCACGCCTGCGATGAATCGACAGGGGGCGGCGGATCGAAGACGCCTACGGCGAATCACCGCCGCCCCCTGCCTTTGGGGAAGCGCTTCTGTGGCCGAACGTTGACGCCAGACCTGCCAAGCTATCGGATCATGTGTTCCCCGAATCGGTTTGGAAAGGCTTCCGGGAACACGTGGGCATCTTGAAGGTCATCTTGGCAGTCTGGAGGCCATTTTGACCATTTCGGGCCTTCTTAGATGACGTCTTGGAGGGCTCGTGGGCCGTCTTGGACGCCATCTTGAGCGCCTTGGAGGCCTCTTGGGCCGTCTTGGGGGCCTCTTGGGGCCGTCTTGGGCGCCTCTTAGGCCGTTCTGGGGCCATCTTGGAGGCCTCTTGGGCGATCCGTGGGCGATCTTTGGGAGCTCTTGGGCCGTATCGGGCCGTCGGAAGGCCGAAGCGAAGCAAATGTCAAAATCCTTCATAAGCCTACGGACAATTACTCTTTTTGGCCTTTTCTGGCCTTCCTGGAGGCCCTCTTGGAGGCCTCTTGGGCCGTCTTGGGCCAGCTGCGAGCCACCTTCGGCCATCTTGGTGGGCTCCTGGCCCGTCTGACGCCGTCGGAAGCCGTTTCGGGGGCCTTTCTGGGCCGACTTGGGGCCCTCTTGGGGTGCTCCAGGGCCGTCTTAGAGGCCATCTTGGGCGTCTTCGAGACCTCTTGGGCCGTCTTGGCGCCCTCCTGGAGGCCTCTTGGGCGATCTTGGGGCGACCTTGATGGCCTCTGGGGCAGTCTTGGGCCGTCGGAAAGCCGAAAAAGCGCAAATGCCCAAATCCTTCAAAAACCTATGGAAAATCAATGATTTTGGCCTTTGCGGGCCTTCCTGGAGGGCCTCTTGGAGGCCTCTTGGGCCGTCTTGGAGGCCTCTTGCGGGCCTTTTGGGCCATCTTAGTCCATATTGAGGCTATGTTGAGCCGTCTTGGATTCATCTTGGGGCCATCTTAGCCGTCTTGGAGGCCATCTTGGCTGTCTTGGAGGCATCTTGCAGGCCATCTTGGGCCATCTTCGTGATTTTTTGAGGATGTCCCGAGCGAAGCGGCCGTTTTGGGGGGCTTCGCAGCCACCTCTGGGCAAGCCTCCCGGGACCCTGGCGGGACGCGCCGGAGCCCACTGGGAGAGTTCTTTTGGAAAAAGAACCAAAACCGTAATAGTTTAGCACGCCAGGCACCCCTTCGATGATTCGACAGGGGGCGGCGGATCTAGCAGCCTTCGGCACATCCCGCCACCATGTCTGAGCTGTGGGTCGGAGTCCCGTTGTATGACTCTTGGGGTCTCTGGGGGCGCCTCTTGGGGGCCTCCTGGAGGCCTCTTGGGACCTCTTGGAGGCCTCTTGGGACCCTTGGGGGCCTCTTGGGCGCCTCTTGGGAGCCTCTGGGGCCTCTGGGCGCCCTTTTGGCACAAAAGGGCTCATTGGGGCCAGTTCGGCGTCTATCCTCCGCAGCTGAGCTCGAGTGGACCAAATGACCTCCACTCTGTGCTTGCGGGGCGGTGGCGGATTGGAGCGTTGCCACGTGCCACGGCTCAGCAGGGAGGGTGCTGGTCTGTGTTGGGAGTAGCGTGCTGGAAGTCCTTCTCCCTGCGCTCGCCTTTGCATTTCCAGCAGGGAGGGTACAGAGAAGACGAAGGACCATAATGATGGAACGGGGGATGGCCAGTAGGAGCAGGACGGGAGATGGTACACGGATGCTCCAGTATTTTCAGCCGTTCGCAGAGCGGCCCTCTGCAAGACGATCCAGAGCTTCTGCCAAGGCACCGCTGACTTGCTGTTCTGGCGAGGTCGAGCGGCGCGGCGGGGGGTGGTGGGCCCTAGATCAAAAGAGAAGCAGTACGCAATTCCGTTACCAGAGGAGCCTGAGGTGGAGTTCCCCCTCTAAGTGTTCTTCTCATTTCTCAGTCGGCGTCACCCTGTCGACTGGCGTAGGGGTGCAGAACTGCTCTGGCAGAAAGCTTGCCACTTTGGCGCGGATGGGTGGGTAGAACTTCTGTTTCTCGAGGACTCGCCGTGTTGGCGCCCGTGCCCGCTGTTGGGCGCCTCGTGGGCGCTCAGTGCGCCGGCCGGGCTTCCCGAGGATTCGCCACGTTGGCACTCGTGCCCGCTGCCGCCGCCACATTTTCACGGGCCCCAAGCATCTCAAGCGCCAGGGAACGGCAGCATCCCCACCAGGTGCATCATGTGCCAGCTCTTACAGCAGGGCAGTACGAGCTGCCCTGGCTGACGCCGACTGCCTGGTAGGGCAGATCGTGGCAGATAGGCGTGCAAGGCAGTATCCCAGCTGCCTGGATACGGTTGAAACGCAACACGCACCGTGTTCGAAGCGAGCGTCCGTGTTCACACGTTGCGTGCTGGTTCGGCGTGTGTTGGTCCACGTGCTGGTGGACGCATCGCGCCAGACCTGCGTCTGCGTGCTGCGCTACGTGTCAGCGCGCTGCGTGCTGCGTGTTGCGTATCGGGGCAGCTAGGTGCAGTATGACTGTCTTGGACAGCGCACACTTTAACCGATGTGGTGTATGAGCGCCCTCGTCTCCCGTTATACCTAGCATTCCAGGCCTCGAGGACGGCGCGAGGGCGCCCTCTTCGAGCGGGGCTTCTGCGCCACGGCGCAGCGCGGCAGCCGAGCGCGCTAATGAGGCGTGGCTGCTCTCGTGCGTGTGCACCCAAGAGCTTAGATACATCGGGGACGCGTACGGCGAGTCACCGCCACCCCCCTGCCTTTTGGACTCGCCCGAGCCCTGAAATGCAGTGTCCCTCCTGTGCTGCAGGTTCCCCCAGCTGTTGGAAAGACCGCTGGGAGAACACTGGGGAAGGGGTCCTCTTGGGCTCTCTCGGGCCGCATCAGGGCGCTTTCCTGGGCCGTCTGGCGCCTTCGGAGGCCACGTTGCCGGCCTCTCTGGGCCGCCTTAGGACCATTTAGGGCCACCCTGCTCTCTTGGGTCGTATCCTCCTAGTTGGGATCAATGTGATCGGTCTTAGGCTGATCGTGGGAGCCTCTTGGGTCGTCTTGGACGCTCTTAACAGCGAACAGGAAATATTTCGAGACGCACTGGGCAGCACATTGTTTTTCATGATCCGGGCCTCGGAGCCGACACCGAAGGCCCCCAGGACGGCCATGGGGATCCTTTTGGGGCTGTTGTGTGCGATCTTGGGGCCACCGGACAGTCTTGGAGCCCTCTTGGACGAAACCGCCCCCAGAGACCACCTTTTCCGAGCGGCTGGCGGGCGGGTCGAAAGCCGGCCTCGTGGAGACGTGCTGGCGGTCGCCGTGGGCTATCTTGAAGGAAAGTGCTCGACACGTAGGTGCGTGCTCTCCCTCTTGGGGCCGTCTTGGGGGCCTCCGGGGCCCTCTTGAGGAGCCTCGGGAGCAGCTTTGGTGCAGCATTGGGGGCCTCATTGGGCCGTCTCGGACGCTCTGAAGACAGAGGTCAGCTAGCGTGGACCCCGAGCAGTAAGTTGTTGGATTGGCTGTGTAGGCTTTGTGGTGCAAAGTATGTGGTGTAAGCTATGTGGTGCAGTTACTTCAAAGGGAACTGCTCAGCCGTATGAAATGAGGGAAGCACAGCAGGACCGAGCGCGTCCGCGGCCGTTGATGCTCCGATGTCGACATCCTAATATGGCGAGTCAGTATGACTGCTCGGCGAGCACCGGAAAAGACATGTACCTATCCTTGCATCGTCACGTCATGGCGAGCCTCAGCCTTGAGGCACCTCTTCGACTTGGTAGCGGAGCTGGCGACACACTTGTGCGGGTGGCTCTGTTACTTAAAGTTTTTCCCGGCAGTATCTCGATTACGAAAGTTGACTACCATGCGCTGGCATCCTTTCGGGGAGCAGAGCCATGAGATTGGCGAGGGCAGCCCGTCAACGGGCCGGCGCTCGGCAACGGGCCTACCCCCTGCAACGGTTCTATCACGACGGCAACGCCTGCTTCTATCACCGTCCACATTCCCAACACGATCTTTGGTGTATGTATATATATATATATATATATATATATATACATACCACGACTCTACGCCACTACGTTCCGCATTACAGTTACGAGCAGTTTGGCAACACGACTTCATATGTTGGTTGATCTACCGCTAAACCACTATGCAACGCACGGCCCTCCTCACCGGCCAGGCAACTGGCAGCCAGGCAGCTGGCAGCAATGGCAGGACATGGATCCACGGCTGTGGAACTATTTGAGACGTCGAACCTACAACCTGTAGTGCCGACGGAGCTTCTGAATTTTGCCATGCGTCGCGCGGACAAGAAATGGAAGAGGTTCAGGAAGAGGCCAACACGACGTGTACGTAGTCAGAAACAGACCTAGACGACGTGCGATTCACACAAAAGAACGTAGCAAGGGTAAGTGTGGAATGAGGTGGAGACTGTATGGCAAGGGTATTGCTTCATTCGTCGCTTCCCTCAACCATGACGAATACGACGAGATGTTTTATGGAGGGAACGGTAAGAGTCGTGGTCGTCGAACCACAGGTAAAAATAATGGGTCGGAATTTGAATATCATTGGTGGACACGGCCGTCCCATGCTGTGCAATGCTTGTGGTTCACCCAAATTGCCTCGCAGTGCAGGAAATGCAAGAGAACGGTAAAGGGGGATGCCGCTGCTCATTTTGTTCCATAAGTCATAGTGAACAGGACGATCTTGCGATAATGTTCACGCACGTGGATGTAGCCGATGAAGTCGGAGACTACATGTGGATAATCAATGATGCGATGATGCCACTTTTCCTGTCACCAGTCAATTGCGAGCAGTGGGCAGGATTCGACGACCAGCCCAGCGAGCTCGGCACCGAGCTGAAACACGGCGACGTGCAGGAGGATAATACCATTTCAGGTTGAACAACAACAACGATGGCAATTACATGGACTACGAATAATGTTCGTCGTAATGAGCGCCGCTGTTTCCAGCGCCCACGAAACTCCCTACACAGGAGGAGAGCGACGCATTGCACGACAACGAGCCAATGCCATGGCTCATCTGCGTACCAGCAGCATCCATTGAGTAGTCCGACCAGCACCCTGTTACTGTAGGAGATATGCACGCCACCATTCACATCACCATCTGCAGCCAGCAGACGCGAACGAGACCTAAACCACCACAGGGTGGTTTGGAATTGAATGCCGATACCACCGAATGCTCCATGGGTTGGGAAGCCGATGGCAGAACCAGGAGTAGTGCGAGATCACTTGGACGCGGCAATGGTCGGTACTGGGACAACAGCGCCTTAGAAAAAGGCGGAGCGCAGAAGGTTGGGTCATCCGCGCATCTTTCCAGCGCGCAGAGGACGCGGGCCTGCGGCGTCGTTCGGAGCGCGATATTCTCGAGGTCCGCAGGGGCTGCCGCATCTGCGCCTGCCCGCCGTTCATGAAGCGCCTACCCGGTGGCCCTCTGGGAAGTGAGTCCAAGGGCCCCAACTGAAGTGCAGCGCCTTGGGAAGTCGGGGCACAGGGATGGCGTTGGGGGCCGCTCAACTCGGGTCGAGGACGCGCAGCTCGACCCACGATGAGAGCGCCACGTTGCCGGTCGCCCTTTGGTCGAAGGTGCGCGCTCCTGCGGCGGAGCCCCTCGCAGGTGCGGGCGCGCTCTAGAGAGCCGGCGCGGCAACGCGCAGTGTTCGCGACGCAGTCCAGGCGTGGGCCAAGCAAACGGGAAACCGCGGTGCCAGTTCCATCGTGGCCTCAAGTTTCATCGTGGCTCAGGAGGCGGAGGAGGAGGAGGAGGAGGAGGGGGAGGAGGAGGAGGAGGGAGAGGAGGAGGAGGAGGAGGAGGAGGAGGAGGAGGAGGAGGAGGGGGAGGAGGAGGAGGAGGAGGAGGAGGAGGAGGAGGAGGAGGAGGAGGAGGAGGAGGAGCCGGGTCTTGGGCCACCGCGGCAGCAGTCCTTTCGCGCGCCCACGGGCGCCGCAGAAAGTGTTGCGAGACAGGCCAGCTGCGCTCGCGACGCCCTTGACCCCCCTGCCAAGCGCACCAGGCATCGGAGGGGATGACGCGCGCGAGGAGACCCGCAGGGCTCGAGAGAAGCGCGAGGGCAATCGCAACAAGGAGGAGCGCCAGGCGATCGTTCGACATCTCGCGGCACAGTCGCTGCGAGCCCAGCGAGATGCCGACGAGGCAGCGGCGAACCTGATCGCCAAGCTCACCGGGAAGAATGGTTCGAGAGCTTCCCTGGAGCAGATGCCAGCCGATGGGCCGCGACGAGGAGCAGAGCACGCCATTGTTACATGGGGCCAGGAAGTAAAGAACTACCCGGCAGGTGGGCGCAGGATTTTCAGACCAAACCGAGTGCTCGCCAATCCCCCTCGGATGGGTCGATCGAACGGGCCAGCAGTGGCGCCCGCGTCGGGCGACGACGAGACGCCAGGTGCAGCTCGGCAGAGAGTCGCTGGGAAGTCGACCCGATCGAGGGCGCTGGAGGTCGACGCCGCCGAGGGGAAGCCGATCTTGCGCGCAATGGATTCAAAAGAGATTCGAGCTCCCAGGCTGACCGACCCACGAAATGAGCCCGAGGACTCCACAACGTGATCGGGCCACTTCGGCTAAACGGCCCTCCGCCATTGCCTCCAGGTCATCAGCCGTCGAGGTCGGCGACTCGGCGCCGCGCCCGACGGCCCCGGCTCTCGCCCCGCCTGAGGTTCCACGGTTCCACAGCGGGCGGCGTCGCGGCCGCGATTATCTTCGAACCCATCCATGAGAGGCCACCGCCATCAACGGGCCCAAGAGCAACCTTGCGCCCGGCAGCGGGCTCAACCGCGGCATCGCCGCGACCGCGGGCGGGCTCCGCCGCGGCGTCGTCGCGACCGGCAGTGGGCCCAGACGACGCAACAGCACGGGCGCTGCGCTGGCGCCGCGAGCCACAGCGGCGTCGACAGCCACAGTGGCCCGCAGGGGCGCCTGCCGATCGGCCCGCGCGGGCACCTGTCACTCAGGCCGCAGGGGCACGCGCCGCGCAGGTTGCGTGCCTCGCCCAGCGCGGCTCGCGCTATGTCGCCAGCAGATGCCAGCTGCGTCTACGACGACAGCAGCTTGTGCCTGGTTTCGCGTCGACGACGCGGCATTGCCAAACTGGAACGAGATCGGCATCAAGTCCGCAACTACCCACGCCAATCGACACCATTCCATCTCCAGGGCGCGGGCCAGGAGGGCGCCGAGTTCGGGGGGCGCATCGGCAGCATCCCCTATCACCGAGAGGAGGCTCTGTCAATTTTTTTGTCGAATTGCTGCCGACGCGACCCGTGCCGCGAGGGCGGCTTCGGCCGCCGGTTCTGGTGAACGACGCAGTGGGACATTGGGGCGGCTGATCGGAATCGGAAAATGAACTCGTCATGAACTATGAACTCCGTGGCCAGGGCGCTTTGAACCTGGCGCATTTATGCCGGTGGAAGTCGCGTCTGACAGACCGCGGGAGCCAGCTCCAAGAGCGATTGCTGGCCAGGCTGGGGCGCGAAATTGCTGGCGGTGCTGAACCCGCGCTGTGCGTCCGAGCCAGGAGCGGACATTCTCACTCATGAATCATGGCCCGGACCAGCCTCTACCGCGAGGTCCGCGAGCTGGCTGCGCCAGGTGCTCCCGGAGAAGGCTGTCCAGAGGCGTTTGCGCGGGGCGCAGCTTTGGCGGCCAAAGTCCTGAAGATTGGTCTGTCTTGCCGCGGCTTGCGCACATCTCGCCGCTATAGACATTGCCGCTAAGTCACCCACGGCTGCCCGTGTTTGCCGCGCGGTCCTCGGAGTGAATCGGGGCCGAGATCTGCGTCTTCATGTCGATTGAGGCGGCTGAAGAGCGATG